ATTCTCAGGGCCCGGCATCCACAAGGTGCTCAGAACACCTAGTGTCCCAAACACAGAAGGCTCTACTCAGACGCAATCACACGGCATACAACTGCCCACTGGGCCTCCTGCGTGCCAGGCGCGGGCTCTGGCACTCACCTATGGCTCTGGCCCTTTTTATTTTGAGACAAGGTTTTTCTAAATTGCCTGGGCTGGGCTCGGCCTTGAGATCCTCCTCCCTCAGCCTCCCGAGTAGCTAGGATTGCAGGTGTGTGCCGCTGTGTCTGGCGTCTGTGGTTTTTATACAGACACAGCACCATCATCAGTGTTGGCTTTGAGTGAGGGGTAGTGTTGATTCTGACATCGGCTTTAGGAGCATGAAAACGTCCTTTCATGGTCCCAGAATGGAAGTGATGGAGCTGCAGACCCTTGGGGCCCAGGACATAAGGTCCCTGACTCGGACAAGCCAAGCCCTGGCCCTGCCATGTAATTCAGACCTTGACTGATAAAACAGGGGAAGGCCGAGGATTTAGCTCAGTGGTTCTGGTGCCAGCCTGACAAGCACAAGGTCCCAAGTTTGATCCCTGGTACCAAAAAACCCCCCCAAAACAGGCAAGCATAATACAGTGGGGAATGGTGCACGGACTGAAAACCTGGAGTGAAGACTCCATTTCCTAACCTCTCAAGCAGCAAGATGGGTCACATGATTAAATTCTGGCCCCATAGGAAGGAAGCAGAGATTTTTCTTTGCTCTTCCCTCCCGGCTGGCTGGGATGTGGACAAAACAGCTGGAGCTCAAGCAGCCATGTTGGTCCCTGAGGTTGGAAATTACTCATTACAGTGAAGAAGGGAACAGAAAAAGATGGGCCTGGTGATTGTGAAGATGTCATCCCACCTCTGGTCTTGTCTTTCTGTGCGAAAAGAACATGTGCTGTTTTAAATGTAAATACTTTAACATGTGAAATGAAAAGTGTTGCTTGCAGCCCGATCCGTGCTCACCAGCGTCAGCCTCACTGCTGAGGAGACTGAGGTGAGGGACGTGTGTCCTGGGAACTTTTACTCAAAGATTTGAGACAACAACCAATTTTCCCTTTTCTATATTTCTGAAAGCAAATGTAACCAATTTCCCCCCTTCTCATATTAAAACAGATGCATGCAGTCTGGTGAGAGATTTAGACGGTCCCATGAATATTTGTTTGAGACGAGGTCCTGCTGTGTTACAAAGGCTGGTCTGGAGCTTGTGGGTTCATGCAACCCTCCTGCCTCAGCTTCCTGAGTAGCTGGGACTCCAGGCCTGCACTAACACACCTGCCTGCTGGGCCAGTAAAATTTTAAGAGATCCTTTTTGTTTGCTTGGGACCCTATGCCCTAGCCCCTCTGCAGGTACCCATCCCTTCTGCTGTCCCCAGGAGGATCATGGACAGAGAGCTCCCCAGGGGGTTGCCGTGCAGTAGAGAGGCCTGCATTTGAACCCTGAGCCTCTACTTCTTAGCTGTAGGACCTTGGGCACAGCAAGCCCTTCCCGGATCTGCAGTTCCCCCTCTGTGCGAATGGAGGTGGTCACGTCTACCTTGTGGGCAGCCACTGCTGTGACCTGTGCCCTGCGCCCCCTCCCAGGCGCTGACCTTGCCTTCCAGACGTAGGACTCACACAGAGGCTCTTGCGAAAGTGGGTGCCTTAATAGATTCCAGCGTGTTTCTGCTCGACAGGGCTGTGTGAAAATAGCAAGGCGCAACCGGCATGCTACTCAGGGGATGCTGTGTTGACTCAGAACAACATCAAAGTTGTGGCTTCAGGCAGGACTCGGGCTTGGAGGCCTGCTCTGTGGAGTCGGGGCAGGCAGCACACTCCAGCTCCCGGGTGCGACCCTTGCTGCCAGCATCTGGCTCCTGTCCCCCGTCCTCCTCACCCTCTTGGGTCCGAGAGAAACAGCAGGGCCTTCAGGCAAGTCTGACCTTGCGGGGTTCATTCTGTACCCGAGACGAGAGGGTGCTCGGGCCCCGAGTCTGAGCCCGCCATCGCGGAGACCCCTCCCCAGCCAATTTATTTTTCACATTCACTTTCTATTCTGAGCAATCATGTGGCTCATTACTGGCAGCAAAGGGGAAAAAATTTAAATTTAAAAAGTGAGTCTGGTTTTTTGTTTTGTTTTGTTTTTTGAGATAGGGCCTTGGTATGTAGTTCAGGCTGGCTGTGAACTTGCAACAACCCTCCTGCCTCAGCCTCCTGAGTACTGGGATTACAGGTGTGTGTAACCAAAAAAAAGAGTGAGGTGAGTCTGTTTACAGGAGAATATTTGGTAAACAAGAATTTACACAGATAGCAAAACTAATAATAAGGACAATGCTCAGGAAACCCTTGTCAGGTCGCTGTAAGGGTTCTAGCTAATGTCCTGCAATTTTGCGATTCTTATGCATGGCAGGAAGAATCCCAATGACGCCCAGCTCCTTCTCAACAACCTGCAGCAAGCAGCTAACTCACTCATCTCCCCCTCTTTCCTTGGAAGCTTATTTTTAAGAAAGAAAAAAAAGGAAAAATGACAAAAGAAAAGAAAGATTAAAACAAGGACAGGTTTCAATCACTGCCTCTGAGCTCCACTTCAATCTCAGATCCCAGCAGGAGCAGCCTGGCCGGGAGAATGCCTTTTCCAAGCAATTCCCTCATAACTGGTCATGGCTCCAAGGAGGTGCCCCCTTTAACGCGAACCAGCCCTCCTTTGAACGCAGGTGAGAATCGAGCTGCGGTGCCAACCCAGCTGGGTTTGGCAGGGGGAAGCCAGAAGGGTTTCCCCTGCACACCAGGGTTGCAGACCTCTCACAGCTATTTCTGCTGGCTTTCTTCCTTCCCTTCCAGCCGGGAGGAGGCAGCTGAGGTTGCTATGGAAACTGGCTCATCCTCCCACAGGAGGCTGCCAGCTCCGATTTCCTGCAGAGTTAAGAAGCAGACGGCAGTGGGGTCACCCAGGCGTGAAGACGGGTTTCCCTGGGGATATCCAGCCTCCTGCCAATCACGCTGTCTGTCTGGGAATCCTGGGGGCGCCTGGAGCTTAGGGCCAGGGAAGCCCCCGCGACCTGGGGCTGCTCCAAGAATGACTTGCCCCTGGGACACTAGGAGGACTCAGGGCCTCTCTGCGCCTCCAGCTAAAGCTTAGGGACCTCGTTAGGGATGCGTCTGTGCCTGCTGCTCACAACTGCACCCACACTCGGGCTGTCTGCTCCCCAGGGCCAAACACAACTGCTTCACCACAACCCCAAAGAATGAAGAGCTGCCCTCCCAACATTTCCTCCTAGCAGAAGATGGGTGCAGGCGGAGCTCTACCAGCTAAGAGTGGTGTGACCCCATGCAAGTCCCTTCCCCTCTCTGAGCCTGCTGGCACACTGCCCTTTCTTCACAGACTTGCTCTGAGGACAGAACTAGAGAGTCTGCTGTCCCTGTCATGGGCATTGAAAGGGGGCTTGATAACCAGGACCTAATAGACACATTTGCCATCAGAATAAAGGTTTGCAAACAATATTTCTCCTTAAGCTGTTTTTTTCCCAAAGCTGAGGTAAGGGCACATTTTCATCACGGACCTGTTTGTTTCAAGGCTGGAGCACACAGGCTCCATGAACAACTGGTCAGGACCCTCGTTAGCTGGTTTCCAGTATCACTTCTAAGAGGGTGCACAGGGTCTCAAACTCCACTGCCTCCAGGCCAGGTGCAATGAATCCAGAAGCAGTCCGAGCCCAAACCCGGGGGAGCCCAGCACATGTCCTGTACACAGGGGATGCTGCCACTCAGCTTGGCCACTGATGCCCTTGGCAATGTGACCCATTGTGGCCGGGGCTTCAGAGTTTCCAGCAGAAGCTGGGCATCTGTCTTCACTCGAAGAATAGTGATGTGGTAACAACTCAGGTTTGGGTTTGAGACAGGGTCTTGCTAAGTTGCCCAGTCTGGCCTTGAACTCGCGATTCCTCCTGCTTTGGCCCCCCAAGTAGCTGGGATCACAGGCATGTGCCACCGCATGCAGCTCTAGGTAGACTTTTTTTTTGGTGCTGGGGTTCGAACTCGGTTCCTTGAGCTTGTGAGGCTGTGGAACCACTGAGCTAAATCCCCAGCCCCTCTAGGTTGACTTTTCTTTTTTGGACTGGGGATCAAACTCCAGTCCTTGCACTTGCGCAGCAGGCGGTGAAACCACTGAGCTAAATCCCCGGCCCCTAGGTTGACTTTTTAAAGTGCAGGCCTTGGCCGGGGATTTAGCTCAGTGATTCCGTTGCCTGCCTTGCAAGCACAAAGTCCCAAGTTCGATCCCCAGTACCAAAAAATAATAATAATAAAATTAAAATAAATAAATAAATAAATAAATAAAGTGCAGGCTGAGCAAAACCAGTCTGCAGCCTGGACTGTGCAGCACAGGGAGATCTACACCAGAACAAGGCTCTTCAGCTCTCTTACTTGCCTTGCCCCGTCTTCGGGGCCCTGGCTGGGTCCTTCCTGCCACCCTACAGGGCTGTCCTCCTTGGGGCCCTGCATGAGTCCTGCCATGGGGAAGCCCAGTCCACCGGGTGCCTGCGACTCTAGAGCAGAGCCCTCTGTTCCATGGACCCAGTGTGGGCTGGGCGGTGCCTGCACCTGGGTGCAACTAGCCTTGGGGCCCTCATATATCCACCTGAACGCAGAGGAGCGCAGCATCAGTGCATGGGGCACCCAGACCAGGAGACAGCCTGAGGGGCCCTGTGGCCTTAGCTACGTGAATAACTGGGGAACAGAACTTGTGCCAGTGGACACACTGCCAGGACCAGAAGGGCCTTTCCATGGCCGGTATCTTTGACCAGCGAAGACCCAAGCCGTTGCAATTGTGAAGAGCCGGGACAGTGAACCCTCTGGGAGGAGGGGCACAGCAATAAGGACTCCTGGCTCTGCCCTGTCTGGATTAGCTTTTGTAGATGTCACAAGGTAAGAAGAGCTAGGTGGCGGGGCAGCAGAAAGCGCCTGATTTGGAGCTAAAACTTTGCATCAATAAGCCACAGAACTTTTATTTATTTATTTTTATTTTTATTTTTTTGAGACAAGGTTTTGCTTTGTAGCCCAGGCTGGCCTCGAACTCACAGTGATCCTCCCACCTCAGCCCTCCCAAGTGCTGGACTTTCAGGCATATGCCACTGTGCCCAGCTGAACTTTTGAAATCTTTTCTTGACTCTGATGTCTTTGGTGGCTTCCACCCTGTCTCCACCCCTAGGCACAGGCATCTAGGACAGCAGGGATGTGGCAACGCTGGCACAGAAAGGAAGCTGAAGCAGGCCAGCTAGGAGCTCCTGCAGGTCACAGCTGGGCACGGTACCGGACAAGCACATCATTCTTCGGCTGCATCAGCCCGAAGCCATACCTGCTGAGGTCAAATTCAGGGATCTCCTCATCCGCTCGGACCAGCTTCAGGTCAAAGTGCATCAATGCGAGGAACACAAATCTGCAGAGATGGGATCGGAGACCATGAGCAGCTGTGGTCTGCCAGCCCCTGGTAAGTCAGGCAGGCTGGGGATCGGAACCCACACAGGCCCGTGAGCCCCAGCAGAAGAGGAGGTACGCCACCCACACCCACACTTGAAGCCGGTGCAGCAGGCTCCAGCTTTCCTCTGCCTGGCAGCTGTGCAGCTTCCTGTGGAGAGGGTGGCACACCCAAGGGAAGGTGCCTGGCCCTCCAGACCTGTGTGCTTCTCAGCCCCCACGCTACTTGTTCCAGCACTGAGGCTGGGCTCTTCCTCTCCTCCTGTCCCTCATCCCCCTTTCTCCCAGGCCTAGAACCTTTGCTGTCTGTTCCAGCTGGGGTGCTGCTTACCCATCAGTACCTCAGAGAGATTAAAACAAGACCATTCTCACAAGTCATTTTGTGGCCACGTGTGAGAAAACTGTCATCATAGCCAGCCCTGCAAAACAAGCGCTCTCTACTGCCACCTTCTGGAAATCTGCCCGACAAATTTCGAGGTTGCCAAATCCATGACGTAACCAGTGGCCCCAGTGATGTGGGACAGGCCTCTGACCACCTGCTTTATTATTTGTCACCAACTGTGTTCCCAAGAATTGGGAGTGTATCTTTTACTTCTCTATGTGCCAGCACTGCCCTGCCACTTGGACCTGGGGACCTGGTGCAGCCCCGAGCACAGAGCAGGGACTTTCCTCTCATGCGAAGGGAAGCAGATGAGGACAGCAGGGCATGTGGCCCTGACCAGGGTCCAGTCCAGCTCCACGGCTCAGTTCCTCCATCTGCTCAGAAGGGAGAGGTAAGACCGGTCCTCTCCAGCTCTGGGCTGTAGGACACTACAAGGTGAGTTTATTGGGGATGGAAATTTGGACCCGCACCTGGATTTGAACTCTGGCACCTATACTCACCAGGTACACGGATGCAGCCAGTGATCTGACCCGTCTAGACTCGGCTTTACACTGAAACCTACCTGGCAGGGTGGTGCAGACAATTGAGATAAAAATGACAACAAATCCCACTAATGTCCTGAAACGTGATGTTTACTTCCCATTTCTTCTTGTCTGTCCCCAAGCCCAAGAAACCCAGGTCTGCTGTGGCCTTTGTTTTAAACACGTGACTTTGATCCACCGTGATCGATGGAGCAATCATGACTGCACCGTTTGAGTGCAATGCGCACCTTCACTTGGTCATGTGCAGATTCAAGTGAGAAACCAGGGTGATTGTAAAAACTGCTGTGCAGAAGTCCGTAAAACGTGCACATGCATACAATGACACACCCACTGGGGGCCATGTCAACTAGCACTTATACATTTCTCAAGCACTTAACATGGGTGATACTGTACTACTTTTTATTGGCTTCTCATCTTTTTTATTTTAATGCATCACTGATGAAGCTTTTGAGTGCTGGGCCCCAGTTCCCTTTTCCCCATAACCTCTGTGGTTCTTCCTGTGTGATTTCCCACAACGAGGTGATTTTTAGGAATGTATTTGAAGTGTTGGAGCAGAAATGACTGCACAGTATTATGATTTCCATCTTGCTATTAAGAAAACTGAAGCCAAAATGTTGGTGTGATGTATCCATTCCCTTAGCTTACTGCCTGCACATTGATAAATGTAATAATTATGATAATAAGTAACATTTAGCAAAACCTATGATGAGCCAGGCAGTGGGTCCAATCCGTGTATCCTGACACCCCTGGGCTATAGTCAGCCTCCCCCCTTGACAGATGAGGAAACAGGCTTGGAAGGTCATTGAGCTTATGATGACACAGGAGCTAGACAGAAAGCTGGGAGGTGCCCTAACCCCTGGTACAGTGGGTTTGTGACCCTGGAGAGCTAAGGCTCTCAGTGCCTCAGGAGGAGGATCTAGGAGCCTTGCAGGCCCCAGAGGCATCAACACAGACAGGTGGGGACACTGACATCCGGCCAGCTTTGGCTGCGGAGCGCTGAACATGCCATGGCAGCAGCAGACGGTCAGCTATGGTCAACTGGGACAGCATGTCCGTGTTTGGTATGTGGGCACCAGTTGGAGGGAAGAACCCAATACCAGATGAGATTATTTCACAAGAAATCAGAAACCTGGCTTTTTATATTAGCTCTTCTGGTTTTAAAAAGTTAGCACACATTTTTAAAAACACAAATAAATAGACTTGTGGGCAAGAGACAGCCCTGCCAGTTGAATCTCTGGCCTAAACTATTCGCCTGGCTGAGCACCCCAGTAGCAGAAGTGTGTGAGCCAACCAGATGGGATGGGTGCCACTATGCCCCGCCCAGGTCCCAGCCCCACCCACTCTCTCAAGCCCCGCCCCAGCCTGCTGGCCCCACCCCACCTCACTCACTGTTTAAGGCTGTAGATGGCAAAATTCTTCCCCAGGCACTGATTGTGCCCCGCCCCCCAAGGCAGGTTGTAATTCTTCAACTGTTTTCCACCCTTGTAAAAGTCTTTCTTCTCTGTTCCCTCTGGGTTCAGGAATCGGTTGTATTTAAACGCCTGAAATAGAAAGTTCATTTTCTGATCCCACCCCAAAACAAACCTGTACCAACAAAAAGGTTTAAAGGATTTCATTACAGACTTGCTTACAGAAGGAGGAAAAGGGGGCCATGGTGTAAAAGTCAACTGATGGGACTGGCTAAAAACTATGGCAAGAGATTTGTGTACTATATGGAAAACATTTCTACTATTGGTTGTTGAGTAAAAAACCCACGAGTTTCAGAAGAATAGGATCCTATACAAACACTCATTTGTGTGTGTGTGTGTGTGTGTGTGTGTGCGTGTGTGTGTGTGTGTGTGCGTGCGTGAGGGCGTTGGTAAAGGCACAAAAATAATTTAAACGACACACTCCAAAAACAAAAGGAAAAAAAGAGACTCCAAACCATGACTAGGGAACTTTGTGGAACTGGAGAGGACAGCATGACCTTTTAAAATATATATTTCTCTATAATTCTGTTTTATTTTTTTGTTGTTGTTTTTTGTTTCTTGGTACCGGGGATCGAACTCGGGTCCTTGCGCTTGCGCAGCAGGCGGAGAAACCATTGAGCTAAATCCCTGGCCCCTATAATTCTATTTTATGATAAATATGTATTACTTTTGTAATGTATAATAAAAATGAATTTTAAAAAAGAGAGAGAAGGTCGATTTCCATTGGTTACACCTGACAGTGAGAAGGCAAGGCTTGTATCTGAGCGAGAGGTGTGGTGTGGAGTAAGTGTGGAGTGAAAGATGGGTCTAAGGACAAGTGGATGATCCAGTGGACAGGTGGGCAGATGGAAGGATGGGTGAGTGATGGGTAGGTGGGTGAGTGGGTGGATGAGTGATGATGGACGGATGGTGGGTGGAGGGATGAGTCAATGGATGGTGGGAGGAGGAACGAATGGATGGATGGTCAACACAGGAATGGATGGTAGATGGAGGAATGGATGGATGGATGGATGGTGGATGGAGGACTGGAGGAATAAATGGATGGATGGATAAATTGATGGACGAGTGAATGGATGGGTGAGATTGTAGCATGGGCCCTGGCACACAGTATGTAGGAAATTTGTTAGCAATTATGAAAGTTTTCTCCATCTCAAAGTATAGGGGAGGGAAAAGTGTTGAGAAATAGATATAACACTCTAAATTAAAATCGTTCGAGCTGGGCATGGTGGTGCACGCCTGTAATCCCAGCACTCGAGAGGCAGAGGCAGGAAGATCATCGCAAGTTCAAGGCCAGCAGGGGCTACCTTGTGAGTTCAAGACCAGCCCGAACTACTTAGTAAGACCCTGTCTCAACAAATAAAATCGCTCAGCTCTCACTTAGGAAACAGTGTCCCAGGCACTGCCAAAGCCTTTTCTTACGTGACTGAATTTACTCTGAATAGCCTTGAGAGGCAGGTGCTACAACGAGGACCCTGTCACAGTTGAGGAAGCAGACGCAGAGAGCTGAAGCCACCTGGGCGAAGCCACACAACAAGCAGAGCACAGCCAGGCCGCTGCTTAGAAGCGGCTGATCCCGAAGGCACTGATTTCCCCATTATCCCAGGATGACCAGCTGACTGTCACCTACCTCCGGGTCTGTGTAGATTTCCGGATCCCTCTGGGGACTTAGGAAGGGGAAGAGGAGAAGCCGGTCACCGCGTCGTAGCGAGAACTCCCGTCCATCCGCCAGAGGCAAGGCCATGTCCACCACCACCTCGCGGGTGATGAAGGGTGCGGCTGTGAGCCTGAGGCTCTCACTCAGCACACTGTCTGCATGGGTGACACGAGGGGTGAGCAGGCTGCCCTCCACGTGCTCAGGGCCCCCATCTCACTGTACAGAGGGTGAGGCAGCCCCATCACACGGCAAGGTGGAAAAGGCCAGCAGGTGATCAGCTGTGACCCCTGTGGCCTCTCAGAGGTCCCTGAGTATGAGAGGATCCAGTTCTGACTCCAAGAGAAGCCATGAGGGAAGGTGGGAGCCAGAGAGATATCGGAAGGCTGGGAAAGTGGGGGCATCTATATCTGCTTCTGCCTGCTCAGCGTAATCCCCCTTTGGAAACAGCCCCAATTTTTCTCTGGGGACCACCCCTCTCCTATTTTCAGGGGTGGGGCTGCTGCTTCTATTCCTAACTGCTGGAATTGGGCTTTGATTGCCCAGCAGAGCATCCCTCTGAGCACTGGATGGGCATGTGATCCAAAGAGCCTGTGGGGCACATTCTTGGGAGTTTAGCTGGCAATGCTGAAAGAAAGGCAGCTGTCTCATAGCCAAGGACGGTCAGCCTTGAGCCGATGCCAGCCTGAGACTGAGCCAGCCAGGAAAGAGGGGCCTGGAAGACAGACAGACCAGTCCTGATAACCATTCAAGTCCCTGGATCCACCCAAACCTGAAGCCAGACATCTCTGCATTTTCTACTTGCATGCCCCAAATGAAGACCCTTTTCCACTTCAGCCAGTGTATTTAGGTTTTCCGTCACTTGCAACCAAGTCTCCTTCTTAGCCCATGAGCCTCAGACAGCTGAGACCGGGGGACGGGCGTGCCAGGCTCAGGAGGGAGACTCAGGGAGACTTTAGGTCAGAGGACGTTGATGGGCCCTGGAGCCCTGCTGGAGAAGGCTTTGGGGGCCCATGACATCCAATCACAGAGGTGCTCTTGGCGGGTCTGTCATCTCACCAAGCACAGGGGTGCTGTCTAAGGCCTTCGGTGGGAGGGCACTCATCTGTGAGACAGGCTGCCCCGGCTGGCACAGGATGCACTGCAGCTCCCTACGAACAGCAGCCAGAGCCTCCGGATTCTTGAGAAGGAAGAGCAGGAGCCAGAAGGCGGCAGGGCCCATGTTTCCCTGCAATGAGAAGGAGCCCGTTACACCAAGGGGGCACGGCCAACAGGTCTGAGCTTGGCCACAGTCCTGGCCAAGGCATGGGGCTCAGCAGGCCTGGTTCCCACCTATGCCAAGAATCTGGGCGCAATCAGTGTCTGTATTCAGCCTCAGGCTATGGTCAAAACCTGCTTGGGGCACTGGCCAAGCCTAGTACCTATTTCAAAGCCTCTCCTGGGTAATCCTCATAGCCAATTGGCAATGCAAGCATCAGTGATAGGAACAAGGCATATCGCTGAGGACCACTGTTAACGTCTGAGGGTGACTGCATTAATTGATCACAATTTTTTGCCACCCCTTATATCCACACTCCTTACTATGTGACTCTGTGGTTCCTATGGAAAAAGCAGAGTATATTTCCCTCACCCTTGAATTTGGATTCAGCCATGCCCTTGCTTTGCCAACAGAATGAGCTAGAATAGACAGAATAGCTTTCTAAGCCGAGGTCTTAGGAGACTTCATGTGTTTCCATTTGCCCACTGAGCCGGGGACTAGGAAGATGAGAGACACTAGGGCAGAGCTGAATGGCCCAGCAGGACCCCACTCAGTTCAGCCAGACCACAGGCCTGTGAGTTAAATGAAGGTGAATGGATGGAGGCCACTGATCTTTAGTGCATGTTTGTTACACAGAAATAGCTAAGTGATACAATGTTTAAATGCAACAATTCTCAATCACTTGAAGAATGGGTATGTGTGAATGTATGTACATATAAAGCAAAATAGTAGTAATTACTGATGACTGTGAGTGCTGTTTTTAAACAATACTTACTCGAAACTTCCCAATTGATAAATAATAAGGCAAATCAATGAAATATCTTGCTCTGAGGCTCACTGCTCATTTTCATAGACATTTTGGCTTCAGCAATTTGGCACACTTAGCCATTCAGACATGGATGAACACAACTAATCTCAACTGGGGGAAGGTTTTTGTCTATCATAAATGACTACCCTATCCAATTATAATAATAGGACATTAAATCATCATTAACTATCATATTTACCTGGTAATTTCATTACAGGCATGACCGCACATGGGCAGAAGACTCAGGCATGAGGATATTTATTCCAATGCTAATGGAACAGCAAAAAAACACTGGAAGCAAGCTCCGTGTCTATCAACAGGCTAACAGTGAAATGAACGATGACCCAGCCATAGGAGGAGGATGGTGCGGGAAGTTGTTAGAAGAAGCCAGCTCTGAAGCGCCTGGTGTGGACCGAGCCCCACACACTGAGTGTGCAAAGCACAAGATGCATGTGTGTGAAGAGGGACAGTCTGAAGAAGCAGGCATCACCTCCAGGAGACACAAGGAACTGGTCCTGAGGTTGCCTCTAGGACAGATGCAGGGAGGACAGGGAGGGAGACTGACTCTCCTTGAATATATATATACACCCTTTTAAATTCTTCAAACTTTTAATAGATGTCCTATTTTTAAATAAAACAGAAGGGCACTGAATAATTCTTACAGTGATCTGCAGTGGCATGAGAAATGCACATGGTACAGTGCTGAATCAAATAGAAATCTGAACTAAAACCATCTTAACCACAGAAGACAAGCACAGAAAAGGGCTGGAAAGAAACACTGCAATCTGGAGTGGTGGCACACGCCTGCAGTCCTAGCTACTTGGGAGGCTGAGGCAGGAGGACTGCAAGTTTGAGTTCAACCTGGGCAACTTAACAAGATACTGTCTCAAAATAAAAAGGGCTGGATATAGCTCACTATTCCCTCAGTTCAATCCTTACTAACACACGAAGGCACGCGCCCATACATGTACAAGAGCATCAGTGATGCTAAGATGAATTCTTCACCTTTATCTCACGAATCCAGCACCAAGCAGGTACCACTTACTTCCAGCAAGCACACATCATTATAGGGGCTTTCACTAAAAAGGAACGAGGTCCTTCCTAGTCACTACCCATTGCCAGCATATAGCAGGGGCTCACTGATATGATCCACCAAACCCGTGTGTCCTGCTGGTCCTGGGAGGTGGGCTGGAGGCCCAGAGGGAGCCCAGGCAGAGTGGGGTTCAGATCGCAGCGCCCCCCTCTGTGACTCTGCACAAGTCACTCTCCTCTGGGCCTCCGAATCCTCAGGACAACAAGGATGACAACAAAGCTACCCCCGGGTGGCCACAGGCTCTGCCGAGGCCAGTACAAGCACAGAGTGCTCCAAGGTGGCCCTACGGCCGGCCCACTCTGGGGTCAGGGGCAAGGGTGGCCTCGGAGCCCTTCCCACACCACGGTCTGCCTGGGGCAGCAAGGTCACTGCTGTCCATCTCTTAGCTAACCAGGGAATGTGCCTTGTCTCAGTTTACCAGGAAGACACTTCCTTCCCACCGATTCCCTCCTGCCGCAGCCCAAGGCCGTGACCAGCAGCAACTTCCTCAATCCCACCTCCGGTGTGGCTGGCCTGCAGGGGGCGCTCGCCCCACTACACCACACCACACACGTGGGGGTCCACGCGCCCACCTGGTTACCCTCGTCTGTCCTGCGTGCACTCACTCATCTTAGGGTGACAGCACCCCACTTTCCTCCAGAGAACAACCTCTACTTCACTTGAATCCACATGCATGGTCCTGGGCTGACCCTTTGCTGACGTCAGCGGTGGTCACGGACTGGGGTGGGGCTGCAGCACGGTCCACTCAGAGGGGATGTGTGGCCCCGGGTGGCCTGAGTATCAGATGTGGGATTCTCGCTGACCTCCTGGGAAAGACTGGCCTCCTCCGCTGGCAATGCTGAACAGCCTGAAACAGCTGGGGCCACGAAGGCCACCACACTGGGAAGCCATGTGAAGCCAGGATCAACACAGAAGGGACAACCGAGGTTCAGGCAGGTGCAGACTGTGTTTCCTTAGAGTTTGTGATTTAAAAATATTTTAAGGGTATAGAAAAATGCCCCAAGTGTAACAATGACATGTTAAGTAGGTCTATAACCTGTAACTAATGTACCACCCTGGGGGATGCTGTAATGTCACTGGGGCTATAGGGGAAATCCCTGTACTTCCATTAAAATTTGATGTGAATTTAAAATTGCTCTAAAAATAAACCGCACCCAAAATGCACACTGGTGTCTTAGATTGGTTCCTGGAAGAGAAAAACTTGGGAAATCTGAATAAAGTAAGGATTTTAGTTAATAGCAATGTTCGTTATTGTGGCTACATAATATCAGCAATCTGGGAATTCCCTGTACTATATCTGCCACCCTCCTACAATCTAAAATTATTTCAAGGGGCTGGGGATTTAGCTCAGTGCTTCCGCTGCCGGCCTCCCAAGCGCAAGGTCCCAAGTTCGATCCCCAGTAACCCCCCAAAATTATTGCAAAATAAAATCTCAAAGTGCAAAAAACAATGCCCGCACGCTCTCCTGGCCCCACCCAGGCTGCTCCCCAGACTCTGCAACTCCAGCACCGCCCCCAGTGTTGGGTTCTGGGGACACAGGGGCTCTGGGGACAGCCATGAAGGCGATTACCAGGACCATGGGCAAAACTGCAATCTGGGAGGCACTGGTGCTACGGAGCCTGGATTTGGGCTCCTGGACTTGGCAGGGTGGAGAGGTCGTGGGAGAGGGTGCTCCTCTTCCTGGAGATGCACCCCAAAGTGAGTAGTGGTAAAAAAGCCATGGCTGCAACATATGTGGGAAGCATCCAATCAAATAATCACAGCAGGAAAGGGAGAGAGAGGCATATAAAATCATCAGAGGGGGAGCAGAGGAAGATGGGGAGGGAACTGTGTGGAAGGGAACAGGAGGGGCTGGTGCATTAAAAATCCAGGAAGCACAGTACCATCTATATAGGAGTTCATGAAATAATAAAACTTTTCTATGCATTTGACATTTTCCCAAATTAAAAAAGAAAGGATGTGAACGGTCCTGTCCACGGTGCTGTTGGACAATAAAGGTGGGAACCAGACAGACACATGTCTGTCCATGCCTGCACACGCACACATGCTCACATATGCACACATAGTCACCTGCATGCTTGCCTGCGTGTATACTGGTCTGCACACTCACATGCGTGTGCATAGGCACGACACATCCACAGCTCCCCATGCCCCTCCCACACCTCGCCCACCTGTGTGGCCCAGAGCTGCAGCACCAGGGCCCGGCCCTGCATCTCCACCGACGCCCCCATCTCCTCCAGGTGCAGCAGGTAACTCTCCAGCCAGCTGCTCCGGAGTGCGCGGGTGGCCACCCTGGCCGGAGACAGCAGCTTCCACAAGTGACCTCTCACGCTTCGCACCTGGTCCTTCTCCCCTGTGGGAACAGGGAACAGAAAGTGGAGTTTCCAGGTCCCCCTCCAGCCCAAGGCTGCCCAGCCCTGGCCTCTCAGGTCATGGGCCTTTGGGATGTCACTTGGTGGAGGTGGAGGACAAGGCTCCAAGCAGTGCTGGCTGGAAAGCCCGAGGGAAGCCCTTTAAGGTCGCCTTGCTTATTATGTCTCAGCCCTGGCAGAAAGCAGCAAGGGCCTTCTTGTCTCCTGCAGATAGGAGCCTGCCAGTTTCATTCATTTCTGTGTCCCCAGCACCTGGCTCACAGCAGGTATTCAACAAACACGCATTACATGCAGGTGGCTTCTTTATAGAGCCATTCGGGAGGAATTAACTCCCAGCTGCATTCTCCCTTCCCAGAACCAGAGCCAGAGCCAGAGCAAGGCCAGCGCAAGGCCAACCATGCGCCTGAGACCATGAGCAGCCTGAGCACAGTCACACACAGAAAGCCCCGCCAGCCCTCCAGGGAGGGGACACTGTCCCCACTCAGTCCCCACCCAGCTCCTCCAGCACTGACAGAGAAGCTGACCCCACACAGCCAGAGGGCCAGAGTTTGCAAAAGAAGCTGAAAATCCAGATGTTTGTGTGGAATCTTCTGGTGTTTTTATTTTTATTTTTCCCGAGTGCTGAGAATCAAACCCAGGGCCTCACCATGCTAGGCAAGTGCTCTACCCCTGAGCCAGCCTCCCAGCACCCCTTCTGATTGGCTTTAGATTTGGCATCTAAGAGGCTTTAGTCACTGTTCAGGCCACAAAAGCATCTCTAAAGGTCAACTTTGCCCCAAGGACACCAGCTAGCAACTCAACATTAAATAAACAAGGGTGTGTTTATGTTCTGGAAAAGCCAGGAAAGAGCAAAAACAAATGGGAATTTCTATAAAAGGTACCAAGATGGGCCTTTCAGGGGAAGCTGTTAGGGGAATAAAGCCAGGCCTGGAGGACCCCATGCAGGATGATCCCTTACAGGAGGGCTTCAGGCTACACACACAGCCTCGCACCACATTTCAGTCAGTGACAGACACACACAGGACAGCACACTCATCGGGTCACATCGCAAGTGTCATCGGTTCACATCGCAAGTGACATCGCGTGGTCTCAGTGTGCAGATTTCTACTCTATGTTTATACAAGAAGGAAATCATCTAATGACACACTTCATTTCTCAAAATATATCCTGTCATTAAGCCACGGGTGACTAAATGCCCACAAATAAACGATCTGGTTTTCTCCAACATCACCCCTAGGGAAAGTGGGAGTCATCTTGGTTGCTTCCCAATTTCAAAGTGGTAGAAACTCTCTCCTGCTCCCAGGGTGTTGTTCATTTGTCATTGTTTGGTTTTTTGTTTTGTTTTTTGAGATGAAAACATATAGTTCGCTATATAGCTCAGGCTAGCCTTGAACTCACTATGTAGCCCAGGCTAGCCTCGAATTCCAGGCGATCCTCCTGCCTCAGCCTTCCAGATTCTGGTGTGCCACCACACCCAGCTTCTCCCAGAGTGCTTTGAACCACAAAGCTGTGTTTCAGGAGGACTTGGTTCTACCAGCTGCATATCACAGGGAGGTTCTGAGGATGAACATGTAAGTCCAGGCCAGGCATGGTGGCGCATGCCTGTTATCCCAGCACTTGGGAGACTGAGGCAGGAAGATCACCATGAGCTCGAGGCCAGCATGGGCTCCATAGTGAGTTCAAAGCCAGTCTGAACTACAAAGTGAGATCCTGTCTCAAAAAAAGAAAATGTAAGTTCATTTTTTAAAAAAAGCAGGTTGGCTACATTTTTAAATCATAGTATTATAGAAAGCTGAGTTAGGTAGAAATATTATAGGCAATCTGACAGGGCTAGGCCCTGGAGAGAGTCAGTGCAGAAGATGAGAACATCAAAACTGTGGCAAAGGTGCATCTGAAGAAGATTAAAATCACAGTGGCTAGATTTATAATCTTCCCTAAGGGATAAACAAAAGCTTGAGGTTATTGGTACCACCCTTTTGAGATTTCTCATATAAATAAACCATTATCTCATTAGGGGTCAGCCACTAAGACCAAGACTATTAAGATGAAAACCAAAGACAAGACAGAAACTATAGATTATCGACCAAGGTTAATGATGTCATCCGTATGTCCTTGCTACTACTGGATCAATATTAGCTAAGTGAGGGCCAGGCAGGTAGCTCAGTGCCACTGAGCCTGCCTTGCAAGCACAATGTCCTGAGTTCCATCCCTGGTACCAAAAAAAAAAAAGGAATATTAGCAAAGTGCTATGCTTGTAATCTTATTGGTTAATTTCACTTTGACGGATGCTGTACCCACCTTGTGATTTTGCTCTATAAAACTCTCAGAAAAGTGGGCTCTGTGGCAACCCACTTTCTGCTCCCCTCCTGTCTCTCAGGAGCTCTCTGTCTCAGTAAATTTTCCTACTCTTAACCTCTGTTGTTCCTCAGAATTCTCTCTTCGATTTCAGGGAACACAAACTCTGTATATCTGACATCTAGCAGGTTGGGAGTTATGTTTATTTTCCCTGTATCAATAGGCCCAATAGAGTTGTCTTTAATTTCTTTACTTTTTTTGGTACCAGGGATCAAACTCGGGACTTTGTGCTTTCAAGGCAGGCGCCGGAACCACTGAGCTAAATCCCCGGCCCTATCTTTAATTTCTTGATACCATCCCAAGTGATGTGCATTTCCATTTAAAGCAAGGAGCCCAGATTGCATCTGAGGCACATTATTTTTGGTCACTTTAGATAATCACCAGGGAGATCTAAGTTCCCAATGGCCTGGTCCCACCCCAGGCCAATGGTGTCACAATCCCAAGATCTAAACAAGTGACTGGGGCACAGGAAGTGCTGACTGCCCTGGGTGGTGATAGTTCTGGATGCTCCTGGCTACAGCTAAAACTGGAAGCAGAGAAATTTAATCCAGCTTTATAACAGCTGGGGCATTCCTAGAGGTCCAAGCTCGATCTTGCATATCACTGTAATCACAGCTTTTAAGAATGCAAAGCGGGGCTGTTCACCACTCTCCCCTGAGCCTGCAGTTCTGAGTACTTTGGAGGTGACCACTCTCACCTCGCTGTGTGGGCTAGAACGACACCTGGCCCCTCTGGGCTTCAGGCCCCTGACCATACAGTGAGGGCCCAAGCTGTGTACTCAAGTTTTCCCTCGGACATCTGCCCCAGGCCCCGAGATCTAGGGGCACTGTCCAGAGAGCCCTCTCCAGTGGAGACAAGTCTTTCAAGTCTTACGCTTCATTTTTAAATTTTTTTCTCAGTACCGGAAATCGAACTAGGGACCTTGGGCTTGCAAGGCAGGTGGAGGTGCCACTGAGCTACATCCCCAGCCCATTTATATTAAAATTTTACTTAATTTATTAGTGTACTTATTTTTGTGGTGCTGGTGATTGAAACTAGGGCCTTTGCTCTGAGCTATATCCTCAGCCCTTTTTATTTTTTATTTTGAGGTAGGATCTTGCTAAGCCACTAAGTTTCCCGGGCTGGGCTTGAACTTGAGATCCTCCTACCTCAGCCTCCCTGAGTGCTGGGATTCCAGGCGTGTTCCACCACTCTGGGTTTGTTTTACCTTTAAAATGCAGTAGAGTTGTGCATCAGACATCCCCTGTTCTACAGTTGCATAGTCTGCTTTTATATGAATGCATGATTTATTTATTTAGGCCCTGCTCGTGCACATTTAAGTGCTTTCTAGCTTTGCTTTCACAAGCAATGTGACGATGAGTATCTTTGTGTAGCTGTACACATATGCAAGTATTTCTGTGGGATTAATTCCTAGAAATGAAAGCGCAGGATCAAAGGATGTACACGTTAAGTCCTCGTGGGTCCTGCTCACTTGTCTTCCACAGAGAGAGTACAGCTGCCCACGCCCCACATTAAGATCTGAGAGCCAGTTTGCCCACACGGCTCTGGCTCCTACTAAGAAAACCGTCTGCCAACACTGCCACCTGCTGCTCACACTGGGAAATGCAGCCTCCCTATGCCCCGCACAGTGCTGCTTCCAGAGTGCTGGAGGGACCCTCCGCATTTACCCAGGCTTCCCTGCAGAAAAGGACAACGACAAAACCCAACCTTTCCTGAGGAAGCAACTGCTGCTGGGACAGGGCAGGTGTCAATGCACAGGATTTTGCAACCAGACAAAGTTTCTATTTTGCTGTCTCTGCCACCCACCAGCTGTGTCTGAGATTTCACCTTATCTGCACCTTTAGCAATGATGGTAGGATTTGATGCAACAATGTATTGTTTCTAGAAAGATGCAAGGTGAACAGACCGCTCCCAGGGAGGTAACGCCCGCGGCAAGTGAAATATAGAAAGACCCTTCATCCTGGGAGTCAGGGAAACACTCAGGAAGCCGGATACCCCCTTCTGCCCATCAGATTTGCATGACATGCACCTGCATGTCAGTCAGGGTTGTGACAAAATGCAAATTAAAATGTGCTTTCCCACATCTTCCCATCAGATTAGCAAACAAGTGGAAAGATGGACAACATCTGGTGGAGATCAGTGGACTCCCTTTCTTTTGGGTAGATGTATGAATTGCTCCATGGCTTTGGAAATGACACAGCAATAGCTAATAAAACTTTTATGTGCCTGGCCTTTGACCTGGCAATCCCACTTCTGGGAAACAGTCAGAGAAAAGTAAAATCTCCAGACAATAGCTGAAGTACTCTGATAGCAAAAACAAAACAATCTAAATATCCACCAGAGGAAGATAGCTAATTAAATACTGCCACAGTCATGCCAGGGCCAGAAGGATGTCAGAGTTTTTATGTTAATTTCATAGCCTTCTAATTTCCTGGATTCTTTTTATTGCTTGAGTAAGTTTTATCATTGATTTCCTGGGATTTTTCAGGTACCATATCAAATCATCTGCATATGATGTAGAGAGCGATTTTACTTCTCTACCCAATCTTATATCTGTAATTGATTTCTCTTGTCTAACTGCACTGGTTGATACCTCTAAAAGATGTTTATTTGACAGCAGAGAATATACAGCTATAGTGTTAAGCGACAAAAAACCCCAACTTGTAAATAGTAAATACTGTACAATCCCTTATTCTAAGCATACACTGAGACATTCTAGATACATACATATATATGTATGACATACACACACACACACACACACACATATACATACATACATATGTGTCTATTTGTGTGAGCATGCAATTTCTGCATAGGGATATGTCCCAGACACTAGGCCTGGAAGGAGCAGTATACTAGTTCATACTGTCTGTACCTCTGAATTGTTAGCTACAAGATTATGTCTCTTTCATAATGTAAGCAAAATGGTTAATGTGTAAAACTTGGTTTTTAAAAAAGGAAATGGTGACGAGATGTTTTGTGCACAGGATGTGACAAACTTGATGCGGCTGATTCGCAGCACAAAGTAAGTGCTCAGCAAACAGTGCTTTTTTCTCATTTCCCCACACCCTCCTAACAGTTTTAGGATGGCCCTACAGGAAAGGTCACAGAGAAACAAAGAAAGCACAGAGGTATGGGTGTGGGGCTGAAAACCACCTACGGCCATCTGAGCCCAGAGTCTGTCTCCACCACACTCCCAACTATACCTCTGGAGGAGGAACTGGGCAAGAAGTCACTTGTTGAAAGTCCCAAGCAGCAAAGGGAAGAGCAGGGATTCGAACCCAGGCCTCCGATGTGAGTGCCTGAGACTCAAACACACCGCTCTTCTCAGCCTTGTCGGACATTCACACATGGTCTTCTAGGCTCTCCCAGGAGATCTGGAATCAAATGCACTCAAGGGGACCCAGGGACCTGTGTTATTAGCAAGCACAGAAGATCCCAGAGGATGCTGCTTGTCAGGGAAGTTTGAGATATGGGGACCCCGGGGGTGGTGCACCCCAGTGGTTCCCATGGCCCCCAGCCATGCATCAGCCAGGAAACTCTTTCCTAACACTGATGTCCTCTGTAGCCAAAAAAAAGAGAATGAGGTGGATTTTTCCAAACCGATGTGGAAATGCTATCAACATGGGGCTCACTGACAGCTCAAAACGGCAGAACGATTCTTCCAGTATGATAGACCTACATTACAAAAGCACACGGCTCATAACTAAGAAAAACGAGGGCACATGTTCACTGAAAGACACACACAAAAATGTTCATACCTGCCCCCGAGTGGAAACCACTCCAATGTCTACCAGCCAGAAACTGGATGAACAGTCTACTCAAGTGAAGTATGATACAGCAATGAAAAAGAACAAACTATTAATACATGACTCTCAAAGACATTAAATTGGGTGAAAGAAGTCAGACACACAAAGGCATATTTGGCATGGCTCCACATAAGAGGAAATTCAAGAATAGGCAAAACTGACTGGTAGTGAAAGAAACCAGGACAGTGGTTCCCTCAGGGATGATTAGTGGCTGGGAAAGGGTATGAAATGTTTAATCCACTCTCCTCTGTATGTATAGAAGGTGTGTGCTTTCCCATATGTAAGTTATACCCCAATAAAAAGTGAAAATAGAAAACAATAAAATACACAATCGTGTGTGTGTGTGTGTGTGTAGGAACCTGTTTAGAGAAAGCACTATCAGGATATACTCCAGATAATAACAATGTTTATGGAGGGTTGGGTTGGGAATGGGAAAATGTGGAGAACTCTCTTATTAATCCCTCTAAATTGTTCCGTATAGCTTGAATTTTTTACAAGAAGCGTGAGGTACTTGTAAAAATTTTTAAAGCAACATAAAACAAGAAAAGATGTGCATGCACTCCACACACACACAGATCACAGGTCCACTTCAGATGTGCTGAACCAGAGCTTCCACCAGGAAGCCCAGCTCTGGTCCAAGCCCTGCATTCCCAGCACTGTGCTCCTGTACAGCCCCCATGGTGGGGATGTCCTTCCTCTTTCAGTAAAGACCCCATGGTGCTTACCCGCTGACAAGGAGCCTCGGGCCAGCTTGGGCAGCAGCAGGTCGAGCTGCCGGAAGGTGTGGAAGATGTTGGCTGAGTGGGTACGGTCCTGGGCCTGGCTCTCCAGGGTGCCTGGCGACGCCTCCACACCAAACAGGGTCAGGTAGCCGGCTCTGCAGACAACAGCAGCAGGTCAGGGCTTCTCCTTGGAAACTTCCAGCCAACACTCCACAGTGGCCAAGAAGTTTCTCTACTCATTCACCAGTGGAGCATCTACTACTCTTACTGTGTGCTGGGACTCTGCTGGGCACGGGCAGTCAAGACAGACAGGAACTCCTGACTGGTGGTGTTGAAACTGCAGCACAGGGAGGCGCACAACAGGCCAGAGAAATGAGTTACACGAGCTCCACATCAGCAGTGCTCATGGAGCAGGAAAGCAGTTCAGGGACATTGGGGTGGTGACACTAATGCCTGTGGAACAGGGCTCATAGGTAAGCCAGAGGGTGAGAAGAAACATGTGTGGGAGGAGCAAGAGAGGGGTTCAAGAAAGAGCAAACAGCAAGTGCAAATGTCCTGTGGCAGGAAGGAGCTGGAAGTGTTGAAAGGCCCTGAGGAGGGTGGTGAGGTGGAGCAAAGTGGGCAAGGGGAAAGGGTGTGAGATGAGGGGCAGAGATGAGGAGAGGAGATGCCTGGAAAGGGTCAGGGCAGGCTTCCTGGAGGAGGCAGGGGTTGTGCTGAGACCCGCAGAACGAGTAGGGGAAGGACGGTGGGCTGCAGGCAGAGGGCAATCTATGCAAAGACCCGGAGCCCAGGCGGCAGCCCAGCCTGGTCAGAGAGCTGCCAAGTGATGTCAGGGCTGCAGTGTGAGGGGAGAGGGCCGTGTCAGGGATTTGCCAGGGATTTCCCTTCCCTTCCAGGGAAGGACTGTCCCATGGTGACAAGGGTGCGTATACTCCTGCCAACTTGCACGATGAATATAAAAACAACAATTAACTCAGGGGACCCGAGGTTTCACAGTGCGATGCAGGGATCTTCCTGGACTCCTCGGCATCAAAGCATCCGGCTGCAGGCATCGCCTGTACAAATACACACACGACCCCTAGGTGGCGCTAAGCGCTACAAAAAAAAAACTAAGCTGGCCCCAACCAGGTAATGAGAGCCCACGTTAGGAAAAGGGTCAAGAAAGGCCTGAGGGGTCCTTGAGATGAAAGCTGAATGAGGGGAGGCGGGAGCCATGCAGACAGGGCAGGGAACACAAACTGCAAGGGCTGCCAGGGACCCTGCCCAGCCTGTTCACCGGGCAGCCAGGAGGCTGGGGTGAGGCAAGAAGACAGAACTCTGGGTGTGAGTGCGGCAGGGACTGACAGGACAGGCTGAGTCTGCACCTCCATCTCCGTCCCTCCCATCCAGCCGCCCTTTCCCTCCCTGCGTCTCTTTTCCAGGGCTGGGGATCGAACGCAGTGCCTCACGCATGCTGGGCAAGCCCTCTACCACTGAGCTACACCTACCTTACAGCTCTTTTTATTTATTTTGTTTTGAAATGCTCTAAATTGCCCAGGATGGCCTCGAACTTGCGATCCTCCTGCCTCAGCAGGGATTACAGGCTTGTGTCACTACGCCCAGCAATTACCCATTCCCTTTCTGTTTCCAGGGCTGCAGGTGGCCACAAAGGCCCACAGGTGCAGAGGCAGGAGGTGGGAGCTCCAGGCCAGGCCCGGATTTACATCGGACTCCCCCGGCCCTGAGCCTGCTCCATGGCTCGGGAAATAAACTGCCCAGCTTTCCCGCCCCTGCCCAGGGACAGGACGGCAGGATCACTGGGGAGTTTAAAGCCCGGGACAACTGGGAGTCACCCTACATGAACTTGCTGGGAGGTTTTCACTGCCCCTCAGTCCCCACTCTACAATGACAGGGTGACCCAAACCCACCCCATTTCCACCCCGTGCTGCGTCTGCCCCACTCTGGCAGCGGAGGAGGAAGGGGTCACTCACACATGAAGGTCACGGCTAGGAGCGCAGCTCTGGAGCCAGCCCCTACGGTCCCACAGAGGACTTGCCAAATGACTTAGAGTCTCAGTTTCCTCCTCTGTCAAACAGGGTGTGTAAACGGGGTGAGGTCGAGGTGGTTGTGAGCACTGAGTGGCCACGTAGAGTCTACACAGATGCACACAGGGGCCACACATGCACATGTGTGTTGAGTGGCTGCGCTTTATCCCGAGACTGCTCTTCTGGTCTGCAGGGCTGAAGAGCCCTCTCTGATGAGAATCTGGTCAGTCATGGCAGCACCAGAAGTCAGGGCACTGTCCTTAACCTGCTCCTCTCCTGCTCCCACACTGAGCCCCAGCCCCAGCCCTGCCACCACCCTGAGAGTAAAGTCCAAAGCCTCCTGTGGAGTCTTGGCTCAGTGAGACCTGGTTCTGCCAACTTCTCTGAGCTTATCTCCTCCTTTGTCCCTGGGGTCACTCTGCTCCATCCACACTGGCCCTCCTGCCAAGTTTCTGCCTACCCCCGGGCCTTTGCACTTGCCATTTTCTCTGCCAGGACTGTGGCACCAAGGGCACCTTGGAGTTAAGTCTCGGCTCTGAGGTTGGATCTTTGAGGGTCACTTCCTCATCAGGCTGGCAGAAAGCATCCAGATGCTGTCACCCCTCTGTGGATCTGCCTCATGTTCACTACTCTCGGTGTAAGGACTTCATCTGCCTGTTCCCCTGCAATACCCTAGAGCCCAGAGGGCACCCAGCACTGCTGAAGGAAGGAACACAGGCTTGTGCCACTTTTACAACAAGTTTACAGGGTCTGATCGCAGCTCCAGGCCTCCCAAACATCTTGATTTGCTGTGGTCTGAAATCAGAGTCGGGAGCCACAGGACAATATGGCCCCTTGTCTTGCTTGCTGCTCCCTCTCTGGTGCCCACAGGGTCCTTTCCCAGCTCACGGGCCAGGCCGGGTGAACCTGGGCCTCCGATGTAGCACCCTCCTTGTCTCACTACTTGGGTATCATTCCAAACTTGTCTCCCGTCCACAAAGTGCTCTTGGTCTCCTTGGCCACTGCCTGTGGCTGACGGAGTCCAGTGTGGGGGTCTGTCTGGGACAGCGACAGTCCTGAGCTCACCTGAGCAGGCCACTGTAGCAGAACTCGAAGAGACCAGACTCGTGCCAGTCACCAGCCGCCTCTGCGGGGTCCCCTCGCAGCACGGTGTGGAGGTTGGCATACATCGCGTCTGTGAGAGCCTGCAGGTTGCTGTGCTCTAGGGTCCTGAGGCGGGTGACAAAAGGGTGCAAGTACAGTCCCAGAAGGAAACATAACTCTCAGCCACCTCCCTCCCCAAACCTTGGGTCCCAGAGGCCATGGTCCCCACCGAAAATGGGTGTCTGTGGAAGACTGGCTCCAACAAGAAGGCATTATTATCTCTGTCACTATCAACAACAATGATGGTTACTCTCTACTGTGCTAAGCATACAGATCGCATTTCAGAGGAATAACAGTTACAGATGGAGAAACAGCAGCACGGGGGAAAGGGCCTGGCCCGAGGCCACACAGCCAGTGAGAGGCACAGCTGGGACAGAAGTCTGGTCCGCCCAACTCCAAACTAAACTCCTGACTGGGATAGTCTGTCTCTGCCTGGGGCACATTTCCTAGAAGAGGAGGAACTAAAAAGTCAACACTTCCCAGAATTCCAGGGAGGTCCTGTTTAGATCCTTAATCCCCTGATTAAGGACTCTAATGAAACACAACGCCAGGTGAATGAACATGACAGGAGGGAAAGGAATCTGGGCTGGTGACGTGGTCCCTCAGGTTGGAGAGACCCTGTCTGGGGACTGGGAGAAGACAGAGGCTCTTCTGCTGAGCCTCCATGATGCACAGTCCATGCTGAGCCAAACTGAGGGTGCGATTGGAGGCCAAGAAATGTGGACCTCTCTCTAAGGGCCAGATGGCCAGATGGCTAGACCGGCAGCGCACAGCCAACAGTGACTCCTGCTGGCAGCAGAAAGAACAGCCGGCATGCACCCACTAGGGACTTCAGTTGCTTTGGTTTTGTTTTCTCCAAACAGTTTTTACTGTACACCTGCTGTGGAGCCAGGCACACCCCACCCAGGCCTTGGACCACCCACAGGGACCACCTCCAGCCACTCACGGTTTCATCTTGGCCTTCTCGTTACTGGGGTCGTAATGTGGGAGCTGCACACTGAAAATCCGCTCCATGAGTAAGACGGCGTAGGCGTGGAAGTCCAGCCTGGTGCGTGGCTCCCACATCACCTTGTCATAGGAGTGCGGGTCCAGGAGGACAGTGACATACCTGCCCCCCAACAGCACCTGCGGGGAGGAGTGCCCATGAATCACTGCTATCGTTTACATAGAAAATGTCCCCTGAAGTCTCAAGCGCTCCCAGGTGGGACTTTGGGGAGTGACTGGATCGTGGATGTGTGATACCAGATCACTGATGTAATAAGTGGATCGGTTCACTGATTGGGTTAATGAGGTTCTGGATGTGGCTGGATGGATTGGCTAAAGGCAGAAAGACCCACCCTGGGTGTGTGTGGCACCAACCAATAGGCTTGTAGCCTGAATGGAACAAAACGGAAGAGAGGAGGAGCTGGCTCTTGCTGCCTCCTGCCTGCCACACAGTCGACTCTTTCTCCTTTGCCAGGCCGCCCTGCCTTGGAGCCAGGAGACTATGAACTGAAACCTCTACAAACTGTGAACTAAAATAAACCTTCCTCCATTAACCTGTGTGTGTCAAGTATTTTGTCGCAGCGACAAGAAAGTAACCAAGACAACCACACAGTGCTCAGTGGTGGAGTCATCCCACACGCCAGGCACTGTCCTACAAGGGATGTAACAGTGTTCTTATCTACCCTCATCAGCACCGGCCAGGTAGGGACCCTCACTCCCCCGTGCATCTCACTGACAAAGGTGAGCAAGGCACCCCGGATTTCGTACTGAGAAGTGGCAGAACCAGGGCTGGAATTCAGTACTTTTTTAGTGTTCTTTACCATCTCACATGTAAGCACCCACCATGGCTATCTTGGTTACAGTCACATCTCCAGCAGCCAAGACAGTTTGCCTACAGAGGGCAACAAGAGGGTGCCATGGATTTGTGTATCATGGATGGATGGGGTGGGGGGTAAGGATGGGTGGAGGGGTAGGTGAATAAATAGGAAGGATAAGTGAATGGATAGAAGGAAGGAAGGGAGAGGGAGGGAAGGAAGAAGAAAAGAAGGGAGGGAGAAAGAGAAGGAAGGAAGATACAAGGGCAAGTGTTGGGTAAATGCTAGTGGATAGAATGTTAGATGACTAAATGGAAGAGCAGATCAAGGAATCTAATGCTGGATGAAGAGAAGGATAAATGGGCAGCTAGAGGTTGGCTGGAAACTAAATGTGTGCGTGAGTATTGGGTACAAAGATGGCAAGATGCTAAGGAGATACTGAGTAAACAGAATGGAGGATGAATGTGAGATGGATGAATTTAGAAGTACTGGGGACCCCTGAAATGTTACTGGAAACCTCTGTAGTAGGTTTTAGTCTCTTGTTTAGTGTATGATGCAGGCCTGAGAAATCAAGCTAAAAGACAGAACTAAGAGAGACAGAAAGCAAGATGTCAGGATGACCAATGCTGGTGAAACCGACAAAGGTCCTGGCCAGCCTAAGCCGCTGATTTTTATTGGTAATCAATTAGGATAAAGGGTAGCTATGTGTAAGGGCAGAACTATGTGTGAGGATGCACAATCATGTGGTTTTTATGGAAATTAATGTAAGCAAGCCTCATAAAGGACAAGATAAAGCATTCTCAAATTAGGAACAGAATAGACAAAATATATGGTTGTAATTAGAACATTGTCTTTTTAGTAAAAAGGTTTTAGCTTTCGGAATGGAATTTGGGTGTGAGTTATTCTGACCTTGGCACATAGGCTTTGGCCAGACTCGTTTTTTTAAAACAAGCCAAATGTGGGGTTAACTCTTCACAGCTTATACTGTTTATAACCTGTTTTAGACATAATCAATATTGTAGTCTTCCACAAGAAGGATACATGGAGGGGCCGGGGATATAGCTCAGTGGTTTCCTCACCTGCTGCGCAAGCGCAAGGACCCGAGTTCGATCCCTGGTACCAAAAAAAAAAAAAAAAAGAAGGATACATGGAAGGTGGGTCTATGGATGGTAGCTGTGGAGTGGATGCTGGGAGAAGGGATGGATGGAGATATAAATAGATAGAGACTGACACCAGATACTGCATGGATGGACAGCTGAGTGTTGGGTGGACAGTGGTAGGTGGATGGAAAGACGGGTAAATAAATCAAAGAATGGAAGGTAGTGGGACTTGAATCTAGGGGTGAAAGTTTGATGGATGCTGGGTACATAAGAATTCTGGGTAAATTTCAGTAGGCAGAGGGACAGAGGTGGATAAAGGGCTGAATAGACACGGGAAACATGCGGAAAGAGAGATGAGTGAGTGGTGGGTGGGAGAGTGCTGGGAAATGCTGAGTAGGAAGGCGGAAGAGTAGTGTGAGGCGGAAAGTGAATGCATGGCTAGGGGTCAGCTGGATGGATGGCAAGGACCGAGAGACGGTGAATAACTGCATAGCTCAACACTGGAGGAGCTGAAAGGACGCTGAAAAGAGGCGGGTCAGGAAGCACTGGAGGGACAGATGGACAGAAAGTGGGTGGGCCCTGGGTGTGCACAGATGGGCGGCTGGCGTATGGACAGATGCTGGAGCACAGTGCACGCTAGGTATGAGGCCAGCTGCTCATCCCCTTCCCTCCAGGAGGCACTTACGGTAAAGATGTCACCATGCTTGTCCTTCATTCTAGTGAGGAAGCTGGCGACATCTCTTCCAAACTCCAGGGCGTGGCCCAACCAGGGGATGCTGCCCAGGTCCAGCGGAGGCTCACCAGGTCGCCTGCAGAAGACATGGCACTTAGCACAGGAAAGCAAGGAAGGGGACAGAGTGCCACCATGGGGAGGTCACTGGAGAGGTCAGGGCAGGCTCCACGGAGGAGGCACTGGGCAGAGACTGGAGTGGTGAGGGGGAGGCACATGGGCATCCAGGAGAAGGGCTTTCTAGGGAAACAGTAAGTGCAAAGGCCCTGGGGTTGAGCTGTGTGTTCAGTAGGGAGGCGAGTGAGGCCGGACTAAGGCCAGCAAGGAGAAGCCATGGGCCCTGAAGCCAGAGGAGTGATAGGGCAGAACAGAGTCTCGCAGGCAGCTCTGAGGACGTCGGCTTCTTCTTGAGTGATGCAGAGCCAGGGAGAGTGTCAAGCAGTGGAGGGACAGGAGGTGGAGCAGGTGTTTGCAGGATGCTTTTGGCTGCTGTGTCCAGAATGGGCTGTCTGGGGCCCCGTGGGGCAGCCATGCCCGCGGAGGAGGAGCGCCTCCCAGCGCCCAGTGTTCTCGGGTTTTGGTCATCGCGCACACCCTGGCCTGCCCACGGAGACAGAAGAGAGCACAGCCGGCTCTACCAGCTTCACTCCGGCCCTGACTGCCCCCTGCAGCTCCAGACCTCAGGTGCCGCAGTGGCGAGATCCAGGCCAGCTCCCGAGTGCCAGCCTGTGCAGCCTGGGGCGAGGAGGTCAGCATGGGCTGAGGGAGGAGCAGCGGTAACAACGGTCCTCTCTCAGGGGGAGGCAGGGCTCTACGGTGGCCCACAGAGACCACATCTGTGCGCGACCCCTCGGCCAGTGCCGCTGGGGCAGGTGGCCTTAGGAAAAATCATTCTTCTTAACAGACCGGGGAGCCAGGGCTAACAAGGGACAGGGCTCTTCCCAGCAAAGAGGTTTGCTCACTGGTCACCGACGACAGCCCTGTCTCCTGGTTCCGGCACACTGTCCTCAAGGTGGTCACCTCCGCTACCCATGTTTTCAGCAGAAATTCTCATCTTCTGAATTTCTATTCAGAACCTTTTTTATTTTTTTTATTTTTACTTTTTGCTACCGGGGATCGAACTTGGCTTCTTGGGCTTGGGCAGCAGGCAGCAAAACCACTGAGCTAAATCCCTAGCCCCAGAACCTTTTTTTAGACTCTAATTCTTTTCTATGCTGGTTTTTCATGTTTTGGATTTTTTTTTTTTTTTTTTTGGTACCGGGGATCAAACTTGGGACTTTCCCCTTGTGAGGCTGGTGGTGGAACCACTGAGCTAAATCCCTGGCCTGGTTTTTCATGTTTTGCATCATTTTGTTTAGCTCTGCTGGCTTTTCATAGGTGTCTTGTGTAGATTTGCAGATTTGTTTTATTTGGCCCATTATCTGTTTACTTCTATCTTCTGTGAGCTTACAAAATGCCTTATTGGCCTGTTTTGTTATCTCTTGTTATCCTCTCAAAGATTCGGGTGTGTGGCTTTTGCCTTTCTCCCCTTCTATGCCCCATGGATCAGCTTTCCAAGTGCTGGGAGTTCTGCTAGGCACTGTTTCCTTGTCCTCCCATGTTTCTGTTTGTTGTGGTGAGGCTTGTGGGCTGTGGCAAGCTTTGTTGCTAGTACTGAGACCATTTAGTTAATGTCTACTTTTCAGTGGTGCCCTCTGCATGTAGGTAAGTATTGGTCTTTGCCTCTGTCCCAACATCCAACCACCTCCATTTACTTGAGTGAGAAGGCTGCAGTTATGTGGCTCAGTACCCAGTTCTCCAGGAATGGGCCACCGCTGTATTGTTAATGACCCCAAGCCAAGCCAGATATGGGCATCTAGAGAAAACTAATTGATACCAACAACTATGTCACCTTGGCTATAGTAAGAAAATCAGCAACAATAATAGCATCAAAGACAAACTGGATAGTGACAAACTCTAAGGACCAATAATGTACCACCCTTAACCATAGAAAAGAGATCTATAATTATAGTATGAACACTAAGACAAACCAAATACTGACTTAATACTGACCTACAGCAAATATCTACTACTAAATGGAACAACTTTACTCCAGTAACAATAGAATAGTATTGAACAATAATAGCATACCAGTAACTAGCTACCTAGAGATTCATACTAGTTGTACTAGTAAAGGTAGAGAGAACCAGAGAATGAAAAAAGTAAAATTTGAAAAATTGATCAATGGGATATGAGAAAGAGGAGAGAAAAGAGAGACAGGGAATCCTACTGAGGAGTAAAAGGAAATTAACAGTGTTAGAAAACAGTCACAGGAAAGAATGAACAAGAAAAAGGAAAGCAGAGCATAAGGCAGGAAATGAAAGATAAGAGGCAGAAGAAAAATGAAAGGGGAGAGCCAGGGATTTAGCTCAGTGGTTTTGATGCCTGGTGTGCAAGCGCAAGGACCTGAGTTCGATCCCCGGTTCCCCCCCCCAAAAGAAATGAAAGGGGAAAGAAAAAATGAAAAGAAACTAAAAAGAACAACAAAGACCAAAAGAAGAAAAAGAGGGCATCAGGAGAGCCTGGCAGCCGGAGTGGGCCTGCTCGCTTCCCAGCAGGGAATCAGCGCAGGAGAGGGGCCCGAGCCATGGGAGAATCCTTCTTGCCTGCTTTGAGGACAGAAAGGGCCCCAAGGCAAGGAACGTAGGTGACAGCAGTCTCAGGGCAGGCGGGAGACAGGGACCTTGGTCCTCCACCTTCGAGCTGGGTTCTGCCCCAAGCTTCCGGGGGAAAGGCGGCTGTGACCACCTTGATCTCAGCCTTGTGAGCCAGGGGCACCGTGCCCAGCCGCCCCCCAGACTTCTGCCAAGGCTGTGAGCGACTGACCAGCTGCTGCTGAAGCTGTTAACTCCGGCGGTTTGTAAATAACCACTACACACAGACTCACAGGGCACTGGAGGCAGGGACCATGAGCTAAGAGAGCCTCCCTCCGTGAAGATCACAGAATGAGGCTCACAATGCTGTAGGACCCACAGTGGATCCCTGGAAGCCCCTGAAAACCAGTCAGGGGTGTAGAAAGCCCCAGAAACTCACCTGCTGCAGGAGTGAATGAGGGGAACCTCACTCTGGCTCATTCACCCTCTGGCCAGAAACTCACTGAGATACACAGGGGGCAGGGCTGCTGGGGCCCTCCAGCCCTCCCTACTTTATCCCCACTAGGATGGCTGCAACATTTAAAAGGAACATAAATGTTAGCAAGGATGTGGATAAACTGGAACCTGCACTGGAATGGAAAAGGGTGTGGCTGCTTTAATAGCCAATCTGGTTTTCTCAAAAAGTTGGACACAGACTTATTCCATGATCCGGCAGTGCAGCCCTGGCACTGCAGATGCATGGTGACACAAGGGCTGGCACACAATTCCTGACAGCAGCATTACTCATAACACTAGTCACAAAGCAGAAGCAACTCAAACACCCCTTGACTGATGAACAAATGAACCAAATAAAAGTGGTATATCCATGCCACGGAACATTACTCAGTCATAAAAAGGAAAGAAGGTCTGATTCATGCCACAGCGTGGGTGAACCTTGAAACCATTAGGCTACATGAACGAAGCCAGTCACGAAAAGGCCACACACTGTATGATTCCACTTAGGAGAAATACCCCCCAAACAGGGAAATCCAGAGACAAAAAGTTGATCAGTGGTTGCCAGGGGAGTTGGGAGTGACAAGTACAAGGCTTTCTTTGAGGTGTGATGAAAATACTCTGGGATTTCATAGTAGGGGTAGTTGCTCAATCCTGTGAACATACTATGAGCCACTGAATTGTGCACTTTAAATGGGTGAATTTTATGGTATGTGAATTATATTTTGTTAAAGAAAAAATAGGGAAGAAGTGTGATTGAGACAGTGGGGGGATAGGTCAGAGAAGGTGGTCAAGGAAGGCCTCCCCAGGGAGGTTCCATGTGAGCAAAGACTGGAAGGATGACGAGGGGCGCTTTGGAAGGGCAGGGAAAGCGCAACACAGGCAGCAGCAACAGCATGTGCAAAGGCCCTGCGGTGGAGCATGCTGGATGAGGCTTCCAAGACATAAGAGCTGATGTGACTGGAGTGGAGAACATCCAGATGCGACATGACCAATGAGACTGGAGGTGACCTGGAGGATGGTGAGGGCCTGAATGTCAAGGTGAGAGTCTGAGTTCTGTGCCAACTGTGAGGAGACCCAGTGGAGGATTTGAAATGGGAGTCAGGAAGTGATGTTATTATAGACAGCTAAGTTAGGTAGCAATTTTATAGGCAGTCAGCTAGGGAGGCCCTCAAGGGAGGCAGGGCAGAAAATGAAACAGAACACACTACAACTGTGACTGGAGGCAGATTCGTCAAAGGCCAGGCCTCAAGATAAAGATGGAGCCGGGCATGGTGGTGCATGCCTGTAATCCTAGCACTCAGGAGGCTACGGCAGGCGGATCTCCACAAGTTCAAAACCAGCACGGGCTACATAGTGGGGTCAAAGCCAGCTTGAACTATAGATCGAGACCCTGTCTGGAAAAAAGACAGAAAGAAAGAAAGAAAGAAAGAAAGAAAGAAAGAAAGAAAGAAAGAAAGAAAGAAAGAAAGAAAGAAAGAAAGAAA